GGGCACAGACCTGTCACTGGGAGCCCCAACATGCTAGATTCTGGCCACCAGGCTCAGTATACCAATTAAAGAGAGAACAAGTAATGGTAAGAGACAGAGAAAAGAGGTTTAACCAGTATGACCACACTGGGAAGTCCTTTGACCCCAAGTTTAGTATCAGTTTTGGTTCTGAAGGCTGTAAACCCCATCAGAGGCTGCCACACATGTGTCACTGTTTGCAGAGATAAAAACAAGAGTGAGAACAAATGCTTGCTTAGGCAAAAGTAGTTAGTTGGTGTGTTAGTTTCCGTCGCTGTTGACACAGTGTCACATTCTGTAGCTCAGGCTGGCCTGGAACTCACAGTAATCCTTCTGGTTCAGCCTCCCAAGTGCTGGGATAACAAAGCTTGGCTGAAGCAATTTTACTCAGAAAGAAAAGTCATGGAGGAGCCAGGCCCAGCACTGACTTGGGCAGGAAGGCTCAGGTTGCTGCCAGTAGGAAGAGTGGGGTGGCAGAAGGGTCTGATATGTTAGTGATGAGGATAGTTAAAAAAAAAACAAACCTCCTTTCCTGGTTTAAGGGAATTTCCCCATGTGACACACGACTCAAGGGCCAGTTTGTCCTTGGAGACATTATCTGGTACTGTTGGGAGCTTCTCTGATGATGAGCGGATAAGGGATGGAGCTTCCACAGGTTGCTAATAAAGAAGCAGAGATGCTGGGTAGCTAACAGCTCCAGTGGACTAAGGGTATGGTGGCCTACGCCTTCTGTCCACAGCAGGGTCCTATTGCCACTTAGTTGGGAAAAGTCCGTATGGCTTGAGCGAAGCCCTCTGCTTCCTAGCAGATAACCCCTGCTCTGAGGCCAGCCTGCCGTTGATGACGATCCTCCTCTCTGCTGCCTGGCTTGGTTTTAGTTCCTTGTCTTAAGGATGTTTATCCATGAGTCTTCTTCCCAAAAGCCAGGGTCACAGCAGGTTTGGGTGACTTTTGAAGGTCTGGAACAGGACACTGTAAAAATGTACAGTAACTGCAGGACTCAGGACTTGCCCTGAGTGCCTGTTTAATGCCATTTTAAATGCTATGCAGCAACAAACTAAAGCAAACAAAGAAGTCCTCAGAAATGGAATCCCTTTTCTTAGGCCACTCCTTCCATGTGTTTGTCACACTCTCAGCAGCGTCAGGCATGCAGGCACAGCCCCACTCTGACTCAGAGGCAGTCTAGAACAGAGTCTCTCTTTTTCTTTCAGAGACCGGGACTCAGGTAAAACCAGAGACAGGAGAGAATTACTAGTATGAGTTGGAGTTGATATTTCAAAAGATCTTAGGGTTGATGAGATGGCTCGTTGGGTAAAGGTACTTTTGATTATGCCTGCCCACCTGAGCTCAGTCCCCCGGATGAGGTAGAAGGAGAGGCCTGACTCCTCCAGACTGTGACTTCACATGCACACTGAAGCATGTCTTCCTGTCAATGGAGGAACAAAAAGTAATTTAATTACTTTATGAGTTTTTTGGCTTCTTATGTACATATACACCACGTGCTCTTGGGCTCATAGAATCCCCTGGAACTGGATTGGATGAAGTGGTTGTAAGCTGCCGTGTATGCTGGGAATCTAACCCAGGTCCTCTGGAAGACCAACAAGGACTCTTGACTGCTGAGCCACCTCTCCAGATCTACAATGTAATTTTAGAAAAGACATATTATTTTAAAAGATTTTTAAGGGTTGGAGAAATGACTCAATCAATGGTTAAGAGCTTATATTGCCCTTGAAGTTGGACCAGAATTCAATTCTCAGCACCTATGGGTGGCTCACGACGAGCTATGACTGTTCTTGGGAGATTTGACACCTCTTCCCTTCACGGACACCCCGATTTCATACGTACACACCCACACAGACGCACATACACTGAAAACAATAGATCTTTTAAAAGATTTGAAGATACATTTTAATCACAAGGGTTAAGAGGAAGAGAGATTCTTGGGAAGAAGGTAAGATCCACGTAAGAGCTGAGTGTGGGCGTCTCCAGTAGCCTTTCCCTTAAACAGTGGCATATTTGCCACTTTGGTGGCTCTCAGATTAAGCCTAGGGCAGCTAGGACCCCTCCCCCACCCCTCTTTTTGACAAGTGAGATGATAGAGTAGCTCATGAGATGCCTTGGGTGGGTTGTAACCTGAAGTAAAACCGGGGCCACTAGGGTTGCACTGGGCTTCAGGATGGGTCTTGGTACTGCAAGTGGGGTTCAGATGCAGTTCCCAGAAAACTGTAGGTTTGTATCTGGTAAAGGAGAAAGGCCTAAAACAAATGGTATTCATTATTGGGGGCTGTTCTTCATTCTCAGCAGGCTAGAGGTTTCAACCAGACTCCTAGGTGAGGTGTTCCTTTTCCCTTTCATGATTGTAAACTGTCTTTCTGCCTGTCTCAATATGCCCTTCCAGAATTTGTTGTTTTGCTGTGTGTGTGTGTGTGTGTGTGTGTGTGTGTGTGTGTGTGTGTGTGTTTGAGATACAGTCTCAACAGCCCAGGCTGGCCCCAAACTTACTATATAGCTCAGGTTGGCCTTAAACTCCTGATCCTTCTGCCCCTATCTTCCAAATACTGGGATTACAGCTGTGCACTAACCTATGTTCCAGAACATTTTACTGAGACTAAGACCTGCAAAGGGGTCTCTCACTGCCTCTGCTGACAGCACACACCAAAGCCCTTCCTTCCCCCTCCCTTTGTCACCACCCTCCCTCGCTCTGTCTCTTCCCAGGTAGCAGGGAATATAGTTGCAGGTCACAGTGCCTACCTCATCTGGCCTCAGTATGCAGCTCAGGCTGACTGGCCTTAAACTGGAGATGCTTCTGCCGTGGTCTGCAGAGTGCCAGAATTACAGGCCTGAGCCTCCATGATCAGCTGTCCATACTGCTTGAGGTTCCATCCTTCCTTTTCTGGGCTACTAAGCAGCACATCCTATTGATGTTGTCTAAGTTACTTAAGTCAGCTGCTAGGGCTGGAGAGCCGGCGCAGTGGCTAAGAATGCATGCGTACTGTGCTTGCAAAGGACCACAGTTTGGCTGCTAGCATCCACATCGGGCATCTCTGTCTAATGATCACCTGTAACTCCAGCTCCAAGGGGATCCATGCCCTCTTCTGGACTTCATTGGCACTTACACTTACACCTGCTCTTACAGATGCACATATCCCCCACCCCCACCCCCACCCCCAAAACACACACATACACACACATATGTTAAAAATAAAAATTTATCCTAAAAAAAAAATCAGTTGCTGAGTCCCTGAGTTTAATTCCCAGCAACCACATGGTGGCTCACAACCATCTGTAATGGGATCTGATGCCCTCTGCTGGTGTGTCTGAAGACAGCTACAGTGTACTCATATATATAAACTAGGTAAATATATTTTTTAAAAAAATCAGTTGCTACTATGCCCAGGAATATTTCATGTTCCTGTTGGTATGAGAGCTGCAGGCATTTGTGCTTCTGGATTTGTGCGCTCAAGAGAACTTTAGAAAGCTCAGGAAGGTGAGGGCTGATAGGAGAGTAAACACACTTCAAGTTTTGATCAGTTTTACCAAACAGTCCTTTATTCAGATTGTTACACATTGTGTAAATAGTGCCTGATAATTCCTACATTTAAAATCTTTTCTAGTCTGTCTGATGGAAAATCGTGGTGTGTGCTGGAGAATTTTATGTCAACTTGACACAAGCTAAAGTCACCTGAGGGGAGGGACAACCTCAATTAAGAAAATGCCTCCTTCAGATTGGGCTGCAGGACATTTTCTTAATTAATGACTGATGGGGGAGGGCCTAGCCCACTGTGGGTAGTTCCACCCCTGGGCTGGTGGTCCTGGGTTCTATAAGAAAGCAGGCTGAGCAGGCCATGAGGAGCAAGTCAGTAAGCAGCACTCCTCCCTGGTCTCTGCATCAGCTCCTGCCTCCAGGTTTCCTGCACTGTTTGAGTCTCTGTCCTGACTTAGAAGCTTAAACCAATTAAACCGTTTTCTCCCCCTAGTTTGCTTTATGGCCATAGTGTTTCCTCACAGCAATAGAAACCCTAAGACTCGATGCACCTGGATTCCCTGAGGTCTACACTGAGGGGTCCTGAAGGCCCTGGCCCAGCCATGCATTGGAAAAGTCAGTTGACAGACAGTGATGGTAAAGGCAGGACATCGTTCTGAGCCCAAGGGTTTTGAGCTTGCATAGCTGGTAGCTCTCAGACTGTAGCTTTTCTACTTGGTCATTATCTCAGAACCAGTCAGTGAGGCAGGGCCTGCCAACGATAAGGAAGTCCGTGCTGCCCTGGGCTGATTTTAGTGTCTGTCCAAGCCCATTTATCAAGCACACCTGTTCCCTTCTGGAACCCAGCATGAAGCCTGAGGGCAGGATTCAGAGAAAAGTAAGGCCACAAATGTGGCAGATGGCATCAGCTAGTGTCCACACCTGCTGATCAAATGCCACACAGAAGAGATGCCAGCTACCAGGCGTCATCTTGGTTACCTTTCCTGCTCCTCCAACAGAGGCAACTTGAGAGAGAATTCATTTCAGCTCACAGCTCATAGCTCATAGCAGGGGTCAAAGCACTTGGACCACAGCCAGGGAATGGTGTTTTCTGCATCAGACACTGGGTCTCCACAGCTCAGCCACACCCTCAAGATAGACAGCTCATACCTGTCCCGGGTGATTCTAGATTCTGTCAAATTGAAGACTCCAACCATCACGGGGACTGGATAGCATCCAGTCGTCTGTACCTGACTAGATTTATTCAAAGACGGACTTTGTATTCTAAGATTCTTTATTCTCTTTTGTTTGCTTCCAGTGTGAGGTTTTGTTGTTGTTGTTTGGTTCTAGCTATAGCCCTGGCTGTCCTAGAACTTGCTTTGGAGACCAGGGTAGCCTGGAACTCATAGAGATCCACTTTCCTCTGCCTCCGGTGTGCTAGGGTTAAAGGCCTGTGTTTAAATACAGAGCACAAACACTCATAACCACACTGTCCTGCCTTGATTTCTTTCTGCCGCAGGGAAGCCCTGGGAGAGTATTTGGATGGAAAGAAGGAGAGTGAGGAGGAGCAAAGCAAGAGCTACAAACAGAAAGAAGAGAGCCGACTGGTATGAGCCGGTGGCCGCTGGGTCTCTTAGCCTGGTCTTCATAGGCAGGAAGTATACCTTCTGCGTTGCTGACTCTAGACAGGGCTGAAATGAAGTCTGTCTTGTTTTGGGGTTCCCTAGGAGTGAGTTTTCAGATTGTAGGCTCCTGTCAGGAAAGGTGGAACATAAATACCCAAGAGACAGGGGCAGGAGTGCTTTGCCTGAAGACTGGCCTAGGATACAGTATGAGCCAGTCTCAAAAACAAACAAATGAGAAATTGGGGCTGGGGTGGGTGGGTGGGGGTGACTCAGGGGTGAAAGTGCTTGTGTCAAAAGCACAAGTAATGGAGTTCGGATCCCAAACCCATGTAAATGGGGAGCGGGCAGGGTGGCAGAGACGGGAAGCCTAAAGCAAGCTGGCTTAGAATTCACTCCGTAAGGCTGGCACACACTAATTAATTCAGTACTTGGGAGGCAGAGACAGGCAGATCTCTGTGAATTCGGGGGCAGCCTGGTCTACAAAGGGAGTTTAGGACAGCCAAGGCTACACAGAGAAACCCTGTCTGAAACAAAACAAAACAAAACAAACAAAACAAAACAAAACACTGTGTAGACCAAGCTGGCCTTAAAACCAGAGATCCACTTGCCTCTACCTCCTGAGGTGTAATATTAAAGGCATAAACCACCATGCCCAGCCTAGTTATTTTTTTTAATACTTACATTTAACTTCTTTACTTTATGTGCCCCGGGTTGTATGTGTCATGCTGCATGTGGCAGTCAGAGGACAATTACTGGGAGTTGATTCCTGCAGTGTGGGTTCCGGGGCTTGAACTGAAGTCTTCAGGCAGCAAGGACACTTACCCAGTGAGCCATCTCAGTGGCCCAGACTGTTCTAGCTTCACAGCTTGCCACCGCTCTGTTTTCCAGAAACTGACTAAACTCCTGCTCTGCGGGACGGAGTTGGTGACAAACATTCAGGTGGCTACAGACATCAGAGAGATCCACAGGAGGGTTGAGGAGGAGGAGACCAAACGGCAGAGGTAAGGGATCGGACGGATTTGTGTGACCGCCGATGTGACTGTCCTCCAGCGCTCCAAGTCCTTGGAAAGAAAATTTGTCCAACCTGGTCTCACGGAATCCCATCCTGCTCTTTATGAACCCATCATCCTCCATTCCCTGCCTCCTCCCTCCTCCCTCCCTTCCTCAAGTGTCCCAAGCTGTGTGGGTATTAATGGAGGGCCAGTCCCTTGCCTCTGACAACACGGGACACTCAACCATGGTCTGTTCTAAAACTGAGATCAATGTCAAGGACTGTAGGAAGTCACAGGAGGAGGCTGTCGGCTTTTCTGCAGAGGTTGGAGAAAACTCAGCAGGAATTCTGGGTTGCACTGGGAAGGCCAAGTAGGGTTTAGGCTGTTGCGTAGGCATTTTAGGTTGAGGCGTATAATCTTGGAACATGTCTGGGAGTGACAGGTTCGGCTCAGATGGTGCCGACAGCCCTGGGAATGACTCTTGCAGGTGAAACCTGTTGAGTAGGAGTTGGTGGCCGAGCGTGTGATGACTAGGGGTGATGGTGGGCTGTGCACATGCACCTGAAGTCAAAGCTTGCCTCTGTCAGCAGACTTTTCTACGGCTCTAAAGCTGCAGCAAAATCGATGGAAACTTGGGTTTGGAGCTCCCCCTAGTGTTTAATCTGCAGAGGCCACTCAAACCTCAGATAAGGCAAAGACAAAACCAAATTTAGTGACAAAGTGACTCTTTGTGAGGGAAACACTGGGTTTTCTTCCTTTTATCTGGGCTTCTCTGGTCTTGGTAAACACACTGGGAAACACTGTGGCTTGTTTTCTTCTGTCTGGCATACAGGACTGTTACCTGAAGTCATGCTGTAAGACCATGTTACTGTGGCTGAGACTGAGAGGTGTTGTTTAAAGGCCACATGATAGTGAAGATTTGAAGGTGAAGGGGAGGCCAAAAAAAAAAAATCAACCAAGAAGCTATATATTTAAATCATTTAAATGACCAGACCCACAGATAGCTCAGGGTTAGGCACAACGTAGCAGCATAGCTTAGAAAAGAAACACTGTAAGAGGTCCTGTGTGCTCTCAACTGGACAGCCGAGGTACAGAATGTGATCGTATTCACGTTGCGGCTCCTGCATTAAAGAAGTCTGTAGCCAGGCGGCGGTGGAGCATCCCTTTACTCCCAGAGCTTGGGAGGCAGAAGCAGGAGGAGTCCAGCCTGGTCTACAGAGTGAGTTCCAGGACAGCCAGGGCTACACAGAGAAACCCTGTCTTGAAAGAACAAAGCAAAAGGAAGTCTTGTTTGGTGGTCTTGTTTGGTGACAGTCATATAGAGTCAGCAGCGTTCGGTTGCTGGTGTGGTCCTCGCCACCATTTTCAGAAGAGCTCCTGTCTCAGCTCTGATGCCTTCTTCTCTGCCGTATCCTCAGGGGCTCAGGGCCTCTTTGGAATTTCTAAAAGGCGTTCCTGATTTCCTTCCCATACATCTCATTGGTCTCGCTGGGAAGGAACGATCAGACACCCGAGGCTACACTGTTAATAAAAAACATACACAAGAATGTAAGAGTAGCTTATACCTGTATTCATCTCTGTACTCGGAAAGTTGAGGCAGGAGAGTAACCCCAATATAGAAGCCACTCAGGGGTGCCTGTGGAGTTCCAGGCCAGCCTGAGACTCTCAAAAGAATGAATGTAGGTACCACTTGTGATCTGACTGCCAGGTCCTGAGGACCCCCCCTCCCCGCCCCACTCCCTGCAACAGTTCATCATTTTATTAACCCTAGCAACAGGTGTACAAAGGTCGCCAAGGTAGCTGCTTCATCCTACCATTGTACAGAGGAGGAAAGTAAGGCTTGCAGGGGTCAAGTGCCTTGTCTTGAGTCCACCCACTGTAAGGCCAGCATTTGAATCTAAGCTGTTTATAATAACAGCTGTGTGTCACCATCCCACTCAGCCCAGCTGGCTTGATGTGGACGCACGGATGTGTTTTAATGCTGACGTGTTTTTAAATAGAGGTTGGAGTTTATGAAGAGGAGGCTTCGTGTGAGTCACTTGTCTTGATGCTTTAACAAAACACCCTACAAGATCAGCTTAGGGAAGGAAGGGTTTGTTTTGGCTCACAGTTTGGGGTTATAGTCCACGGTGGCACGGAAACCATGTTAGCGGGAGCTCCGGGCGGCAGCTCACACTGCATCTGATGCCAAAAGGGTGGGGGGGGGAGGGAGGGGAATGCTGGTGCTCAGCCCAGCTTCTCCTTTTCCTTCAGCCCCAGGCTTCAGCCTAGGCTTTTAGGCTTTCCCACCTCGGGTGCCTTAATCTTGACACAACCTCACAGCCTGGCCAAAGGCTCGTTTCTGTTGTGATCCTAATCCCTATCAAACTGATGAACAATGTTGACCATTGCAGATTTCTTTGTTTCTTTCTTTGTTTCTTTCTTTGTTTCTTCCTTTGTTTCTTTCTTTCTTTCTTTCTTTCTTTCTTTCTTTTTTCGTTTTTCGCTTTTTGTTTTTTGTTTTTTTGTTTTTTGTTTTTTTTTGTTTTTCGAGACAGGGTTTCTCTGTGTAGTCCTGGCTGTCCTGGAACTCACTCTGTAGAACAGGCTGGTCTTGAACTCAGAAATCCGCCTGCCTCTGCCTCTCAAGCGCTGGGATTAAAGGTGTGTGCCACCACCACCCGGCCATTGCAGATTTCAATGTAAATTTGAGAGCTGAGGGGTGGGGGTGGGGATGGGGGTGTGGGAGGGTGGTAATCTGTGCTTTAGTGTGTCTGTTTGTCAAGGCACAGACTTGCTGTTGGTCTTTCTTGGCAGGTGTTTCACTTGGTGTGAAGCATTGGGACCTGCAAGGTAGAAGCAGAGAACAGACTCAAGTTGTCCTCTACACATGTGTGCATGTACAGGCGTGTGCATGTCCATGTACATGCCCAGACACACCAAATAAATAAATAAATAAATAAATAAATAAATAAATAAATAAATAAATAAATAACAGGCAATACAAAGTTAAGGTAAAAAAAAATAGTTTCCCCAGAGTTTGGCTTTGCTCTGGGTGAGTGTCTGAGGGAAGAGCCTGGACCATGGAGCGTGGACCGTGCTGTTGGGAGAAACCGCCTCTGGAAGGCAGGGCACAGAGCACGCAGCATGTTTCTGCCCACAGACTGGAGAAGCTGGAAAACGAAGTTAAGACCAGCCAGGACAAATTCGATGAAATCACGGCCAAGTGGGAGGAGGGCAGACGGAAGCGAATTCCCCAGGAACTCTGGGAGATGCTCAACAGCCAGCAGGTGCACTGTGCTGGGCTCATAGAAGACAAGAACAAGCTCATCAGCGAACTGCAGCAGGCAAGGGGCCGCAGCAGGCAAGGGGCCAGCCTCCATCCAGGCTGAGGGGTGTGTGTGTGTGGCAATCCTTGGCTTTTCCTGCCTTACTCTATCACCTAGCATGTGACATAATTCAAGCCAGGAATGGATAGATAGATAGAGATAGAGATAGAGATAGAGATAGAGATAGAGATAGAGATAGAGATAGAGATATATAGATATATATCTGTAATCCCAGCACTTGGGAGGCTGATGCAGGAGGATAGCAAGTTCAAGGCTAGGTGGGCGATAGTAGTGAGGTGGCATTGGAAAAGAAGGAGAAATCCATCCACTGGACTTTTTTAATGCTGAGTTGAAGCTCCCTGTGGATCCTGCACGCCGCTCTCTCAAGTAGATGGTTCCCAGTTCTGCCGGCTCATTCTGAGAGCGCCCCTCAACTCTGATGGCTGCTTCTCTAACCTCTCAGAAGGGTTTGAGCTTGGCACAGTCCCACTTGTCTGATTTTGATGTTGTCCCCACTGCAAGTCTACTGTCCCAAGGCTCTTCCTGTTTTCTTCCGGGCACTTGCTATTTTAGGCTTTGCTTTTAAGTTTTCATTCCATCTGAGTTAATTTTTTATGACATAAGGAGAGAGCACTATTTCATATTTTATGTGTGAACTGTCCAGATAGTTCAATAATTCCTCTTCCTCTTCCTCTTCTTCTTCTTCCTCTCCTCCTCTTCTTCCTCCTCCTCTCCCTCCTCTTCCTCCTCTTCTTCCTCCTCTTTCTCCTCTTTCTCCTTCTCTTCCTCCTCTTCCTTTTCTTCTTTTAGATTTTCAGTTTCTGGCCACAGACTCATAAAATCCAGGTTGGCCTTGAACTGTACTTGTAATTGAGGATGGTCCTGAATTTCTAATCCTCCTGCCTCTGCCTCCCAAGTACTGAGATCACAAGCACATGTCACTATGCTGGGTTTATGTGGTGCTACAGATCAAACCTAGGGTCATCTGCATGGAAAGTGAGCACTCTACCAACTGAGCTGTGTCCCTGGCTCCGATAACATCAGAAAGACTTTCACCATAGTGTAGACTTGTTGAAGACTATTGGGCTGAGACTAGGGATGTAACTCAGTGGTAGAGTGCTTGCCTAGCACGCCAGGGCTCTACTCCGCATGGCCTACCTCTGTCTCTCAAGTGTTGGGATTTAAAGGTATACACTACCACACTTGGATTTTTCTTTTTTTAACCAAGTCTTGCTATATAGGACAGGCTGGCCTTGAGCTCACTATGAACCCTAGAGAGGCCTCGAACTCAGTAACCAAGGCTGACACTCACATTCACAAGCCCTCATTTCTAGATCCGTGGCATTGTGCCTGGCTTAATTTCTAGTGTTTACAGCTTCAGACGAGAGATTGTTGGGTGTGCTTGGGACTTCTGGTTTCTGTCTCTGTTTCTGACCGACTCTGCTTGTTCTCTTATCAAGGAGTTAAAAATAAAGGATGACCAGTATGTGAAGGACTTGAAGAAACAATCAGAAGACATCACCCTGCTTCTGGAGAGGATGGAGGAGCAAGTGAAGAACGTGATGAAGAAATTCCGCCAGGAGCTCATTCACATTGAGGTGAGGGTTCTCGGGGACATTGGTCCTGATAGTCTAAGTGGGGCCCGATAGCGCCATCCTCTGATTTCTGTTTCTTATTTTAGAGTTTGTTTGCTCATTCATTCATTTATTCAACAGTAGCCCAGTGTGTACTGTATGCAGGGCACTGTTCCAGGGGCGGCAGAGACAGCCATGAACAAAATAGAGCCTGCATTCTCATGGGAGACAACTAGAATGAAACACGTAAACCCCTAGGTATCGAGTTTGGCTGGTGCAAATAAATATTGTGTAAGTGCAGTCAGTTCCCTGTCACTGGGACAAAACAGCTTAAGGGGAAGCCTCACTGTGGATGATGGATTCAGAGGACTCAGCCCGTCATGATGAAGAGGGCCACAGGGCTGAGCAGTTCCCGCTGTGAAGGTGGGAAGCAGAGAAGAGTATGCCTAGCTAAAGGGTGTCCCTCTCCCCCTTATCACCCCACACCTCCAACCTGTTCTAGTCAGGCTCCTAATCTAACATGCCGCCCACACTCAGGATAGCTCTTTTCCTTAGTCTCGGATTGTCCAGGAGGTGTGCCCAAAGCAATCTCTCTGGAGCCTCTCAGTTCAACCAGGTTGCCAGTATAGGTGAACCACAGGGGAGAAGTGACGGACATTAGCATTCCAGAACCATAGTCAAATGCAGCAGGTTGTTGCTGGTACATGGCCGGTGATGTGAAGGGACAGGGACAGGAAATGACAGCTAGGAATCAAGGATCAGTGCCTTGAATGTGAATGACACGTTCAAGATTAAGATTGGGTTATTGGTCTTCCAAAAATGGAAGAGACATAGGAGGGCTGGACCCTCTCCTGATTGTTACTTCACCCCTGCAGCGGGAAGCCTGAGGCCTTCTGTCTGTGTCTGTCTGTCTGTCTGTCTGTCTGTCTGTCTGTCTCTCTCTCTCTCTCTCTTGTTTTGTTTTTTGAGACAGGGTTTCTCTGTAGACCAGGCTGGCCTCGAACTCAGAAATCTGCCCACCTCTGCCTCCCAAGTGCTGTGATTAAAGGCATGTGCCACCACTGCCCGGCAACGGGAGGCCTTCTCAATCTTCTTGTTGTCTTTGTTTCATGGGCGGCCCAGCCACTGCCATGCTAGTCATGGTTGAGGTACATGCCAAGCTTGCCCTGTGGCTGCCAGCTAGGACTCTTCTCTGTCACTGGTACCAGGCTCTGATAGACTAAGCCAGTGGTTCTCAACCTGTGGATCTCAACCCTGTCACAGGTTCACATATCAGACATCCTGCATATCAGATACTTACATTACAATTCATAACAGTAGCAAAACTGCAGTTATGAAGTAGCGAAGAAATAATGTTATATTGTGGAGGTCACCACAACATGAGGGACGGTATCAAAGGGTCGCAGTGTTAGGAAGGCCGAGATGCACTGCACTAAGCTCTGGGACTCTGGGAAAGTGTCCTCTCAGAGTTTATGGGAAGTTCACATCTGTTAATGTCCGCACAACTCTTCCAGCAGCCATTCAGCCACATGAAATTTGGGGCATTCCTGTTTGTGTGTGACTTCACTCATCTGTGCGACTAGGCACTTGTGTTCTTACCTAACAGTTCTTGGTACTGGTGGGGTCCCCTCCCCACAATGGGTGCAGACACGAGGGCTGTCTCCTGTCTTGGTTGTAGAAAGCCTTTGAGAGGGAACGACAAGAACTGCTATCCACTAATAAGAAGAAATGGGAGCGAGCCCTGCAGGCTCACAATGCCAAGGAGGTAAGGGGTGGGTGAGCAGGAGGGGGCCATCCGGGGCGACCAGGGAACCTGTGGGTAGTGGTGGATGACACTAAGCCTTGAGCCTCAAGTGCCCCGAGTGTGCCTCATGCTCTTCTCTGAGCTGCATGGTTATCCATATGGTTTGGAAGGATGCACCTGTCTGATGGGTAGGTAACAATATTGCAGCTTGCTGAGGTTTCCACCATCTTGTCACTGTCCCCTCAGTATCCACCAAAGTCACAGTATTTGTGGTCCAAGAAAGTGTTCTGATTTTTCCTTCTTTCCCTGAGAGAGGGTCTCATGTAGCTTCGCATAGCCACACGTAGCTTAGGATGGCCACACGTAGCTCAGGATGGCCTCAAAATTTCTATATGTTCAATCCCTTGATCATTTTGACCTTTTGCCTGCATCCCCTGAGGGCTGGAGCTCTGCAACATCATGTCCAGTTTATGAAGTACAAGGGCCCAACCCAGGATTTCCTCTGTGCTAAGTGAGGAAGTCATTTTCCAGATGAGCCGCCTCATCAGGAAACTTTTAAAACATACCTTACCTAATTGTTGTTGTTGTTGTTATTGAGATGGTCTCACTGTGTAGTTGTATCTTGCCTGAAACTCCCTGTGTAGAACAGGCTGGTCTTGAACTTGTGAACATGCTTCTGCCTCTAGATTGTTAGAGATGCAGGTGTGGACAATCCAATTTTAAGACATATCTAAAAAATAGCATGGGAATATTGCATTACTTTATTTCATATGTACAAAGAACAAAGAGATGACATAAGACACATCACCACCACCACCATCATCACCACCACCATCATCATCACCACCACCACCATCATCACCATCATCGTTGTTTTGCAGTGTAAAGGCTAGGTTATAAGGTTTGTTTAATTTCTTTTAAGATCTGTTTTGTGTGTGTGTGTGTGTTTTAATGTGTAAGTATGTGAGCATATGTGAATGTGTGTAGGTGCCCACAAACAGAAGAGGGCATTAGATCTCTTGGAGTTACAGTCATGTGGATGCTGGGAACCAAACTTGGGGTCTAGTAGAGCATTACTCTCTCAACAGCTGAGCCATCATGCCAGCCACGGTTTAACTTTTTTTTTTGTTTTTTTTTTTTGGTTTTTCAAGA